TGGGACCCCTACAGAAGACATTTGAGTGTCTGAATGTCTGGGCATTTAGTCAGATTTTGCTGAAGTGGAGGATCACAGTTTCTGCAGTAAGATATTTCATGGTTTCGGCTATCATTATTATTACACGACTTAAATAACGCCAAATGTTTGCGCAGCACTTTACAATATAAAATTACTTAATACTATAAAATGGTGATCTTAATCTTTGCCCTCATCAGGATCATGTGTGCCACCTGTATTACAATACAGTTCCCAGTCCCTCCTGCCCGACTGACGTGTCACAACAATGTCTGTATATATAGATGTACTCTCAGCTGCAGTACCTTAAAAGAAAATGGCACAGGATTAAAAGCTTCCCAGCCTCACAAATATACATCACTGATCAACAAGTGTAAAGCCCAATTCTAGCCAAAACTTTGCTTCATTTTACATACAGCAGGAAAGGGTTAGAACAAGAGGTGTCCAACCTGTGACCCAAGACTGCTATAAATGCAGCCCAATACAAAATCGTAATGTTACATTTTTGGTGGGATTGTTTTGTAAAAATGAGTTTACATGCAGCCGCAGAACAGTTTGACAGTGTCTCATACAGGACTTTTATCCTCCCAAAGAAAAATATCCCACTCTTCACAATCACGCCTTATTTATGACACAAGTTTCGGGAAGCACCTATATTTGTGAGCAACTATTTTCATGGGACACACGAAGAGCAAAATTAGAACCAAAAAAATCTGATGAGCATCTTAAGAATTCATTGAGAATTACTACTACATCCATTAAACCAGATATTGATGCGTTTATCAAAGATCATGTCAAATATCACACTAGTTTTATGTTGTCCTCTTTTACTTTTAGAACAAAAAAATATTACAATAAAAATGAAGTTTTATTACTCAGATAGGTACATTATCTATATCAAGGATCATTAACTTGTGATCTGACTTTTTCTGCTCATCAGATATCCTTTTTGTGAGTGTATTTTATGTGTGGCCCTAGACAATTCCTCCTCTTCCAATGTGGCCCAGGAAAGTCAAAAGGTTTGACACCCCTGAGTTAAATCTTGTGATTTTGCTTTCCACGTTACCATCGGGGAGATTTTGCTGCACTTCTTCTCATGACAGAAAGTGAAGGAAAGTCTCTCCTACGGGGGCAAAGAAACTAACATTTTTAATAGAGCAGAAAGTTAATAGGTAGAAAGTTTTTTCGATCTGTGCAAGAAACAAGAAATGAAGGAAAATCTCCAACAGGGGGGTCACATAAAATAAAAATTTGGCAAATAAAAATCTGTCTGGAATTGGACTATAAAGTCATTAAGGATGGTTTGCCGATAGATGCATGTGGACGTTAGATGGTAAACAACTGTACTATTCTTATTAGAAACTGATCCATGCTGCATGCAAGACCCAACTGTATGGGGCACACATGAAACAAGACAAAAGGCACATATTCTATGGCAGAGACCATAATCACTATTTCTTTGCAGTGACACACTGTCATTGCAGAACTGAGGCACTAGATTTATAGAACACAAAAGCATCCAATATTTAGTATCCAGGTGCCCGTTCACAGAACCCAGTTTTTACGTAAGGATAACCTGAACGGCATTTTGCAGAACAGGTTGCATTCCCCCTGAAAAGCAAGTACATACTGCCAGATTAGCACAAGTGCTATTAGACAATATGCTTCCCTCACATCACAAGAGGCTAGGTGATGATCTGTCTCAACCAATGACTGGATGACCAAACATCAGGAATTGTTCAGCTGAGAGGCAGGAGTCTATAATTGAGTTTTAGGAGCAGAAAAAAAGTCCTTATAAACAAGACCACCAAATATCCATATTGTCAGAACTGGGCACATCACCTAAGGCCACAAGCACAGCTACTGTAGAGATGAAGACAAACCAAGTCTCTAGCAACTCTGTAAAGAACAAATATAAAAAGGTAGATTATGAAGAGATGCAGTAACTGATATCAAAAACTTTGGGGGTCAGAGAAAATGCAGATGACCAGTGTCATCACCCTGTTGGTAAAAGTAAAAATTCAGAACAGCTTTGACTCAAAGTATTTCAGAATATTGGGCTTTTTCCTGAAAGTTAAGTTCACCTTTGGAACAAGTTACATGTTCTACTTGTTGTTAGGGTGGAACATGTAACACGTTCCAGTATCTGCACTCCGCACCCCCAATCCCCCTCCTTGTGACAGCAGGCGTGGGATCCTCTCCCTGCACCCACTTTTACAATTTGAATACAGCGTGGCTGTGCAGGGCTCCGCCCACACAGCCATGTCATCCATTCAGTTTCCTGTGAATTGATAGACTACAAGTATGGTCATCCATTGCAGCTGACCACTTGTAGTTCCCAATGAACTACGAGGTACGGGTAGACAGCTATTCTGAGAACCTGCAGGAGCCTGAGGTTGCAGATCAGATCACAGGTGTAATTTAGTTTCCTGTGTTGAGATGAATGTTTTATGGGCTAAAATGAACCCAAATGCATGTCGAGCAGAGGCTTGGGGAAGATCTGAGGAGTCAAGGTGTTCAACTCCTATAGTCTTCTAAAAGGAAATCTGTTTGAGAGAAATATGTATGCTGCTAGTGTTCACCACTGAAAAACTTTACTTTTGTGGCTGTCATGCTGATCCTTATACTTAATATTTTGACCAGAAGGATGTAGATCAGAAGTTTAGTCCGTGACTCATTGAAGCAAGTATCAGCAAGAAAAACCAGGAAATATCTAGTTATATTTATTATACATACATATACACATACTCACCGGCCGCTTTATTAGGTACACCTCGCTAGAGACAAGAAAATATCCCCCACACCATTACACCACCACCACCAGCCTGAACCGTTGATACAAGGCAGGATGGCTCCATACTTTCATGTTGTTTGACTGCTTTAGTGCCACCCCATAGCAGAATTACTGCTACAGGGCGTCAACGGTGCACAAAATCACGTGTGTGTGTGTGAGATTTTGAATTTCCAGGTAGGGGGAACACACATCCTACACGCGTCGCCATTCGCAGCCTTGGCTGTCAATCACCAGGTCCTGGCCGGTGATTACTCGCCGGTGCCACAGCCATACAAAGCAGTGTGTATACAGTGAAGCACAAACAGCACACAATTAGAAATGGCACAAAGTTAACTCTTTGATTTTCCCATGTTAACCCCCCCTGCCCAGTGCCATTAGTACAGTGTCAGTGCTTTTTATTAGCACTGATCACTGTAGAAGTGTCACTGGGGATGTCAGTGACACCAAGTCAGTTCCCCCCAGTGTCAGAATGTCCGCCACAGTCCCGCTATAAAGTCACTGATCGCAACAATTACTAGTAAAAATAAAAACTTTCTTTAAAAATTCCAGTATATACACCGCCATTTGTAAACGCTATAACTTTCACATAAACCAATTTACACGTATTGGGATTTTTTTTTTACCAAAGACATGTAGCAGAATACATTTTGGCCTAAATTAATGACGAAATTTGATCTTTTAATTTTTTTTTTACTGGACATCTTTAACCACTTCCCGTCCGGCCCATGTATATAAACGGCCAGACGGTGGCAGTGCAGGGTCAGGTGGCCATTCATAAATGGCCTCCCTGCACCGTGTCCTCTGGACACAGTGGAACACCGATCGCACGGGACCTCTGTGCGAGGTCCCGATCATGTGATCACTGATTGGCCAATCAGTGATCACATGCAGAGTAGTAAGCAAGATGTCACTTCTAACATCATTGCTTACTACGTGTGAAATCTGTGAATGATCACAGAGGTCACATGGTACAAGGCTATTCACAACAGCCTTGTACCATGTGACAAGCTGTGACCAATCACAGCTCACACAGTAGTTCTCAATGGCTGCAAGAATGCAGCTAGAGAGAAGGAGAAATGATTGCTTTTATAGCCTTTATGGGTGTAAAAGCAATCAGTGTAAAAAAAAATCTTCATCACCCCCCACAAGTAGTACAGTGTCACCATGGTGACACTGTACTGCTAGGGTGACAGTATGTAAAAAAAATATATATATAAAAAATAAAATAAAAATGTAAAAAAATGTTTAAAAATTATAATTTTTGGTTATAAACTAATTTGGGTTATTTTTTTTATTATTAAAAAATAACGGAATAAATTTTGGCCAAGATGTATGATGAAATGCTATTTATTTGCAACATTTTATAAGAAAAACACTTTTTTTCAAAACTTTTTGGACTTTTTCATTTACAAGTAATGCAGCGCCATAACGCATAAAATGGCCTGGTCAGGAAGGGGGGTAAATCCTCTGGAGGGCAAGTGGTTAAGTCAAATTCTGACCCTCCCATCTGAAAGTCACAGCTGAAATTGAGACTCAGACCAGGCAATGTTTTTTCAGGCTTCTATTGTCCAATTTTGGTGAGCCTGGGTGAATTGTAGCCTACGTTTCCTGATCTTAGCAAACAGGAGTGGCACCCGGTGTAGTCTTCTGCTGCTGTGGCCCATCTGCTTCAAGTTTTGATGTGTTGTGCATTCAGAGATAGTACTGTTGCCTTTATATCATCTCGAACGAGTCTGGCCATTCTCCTCTGACATCAACAAGGCATTTTCATCCACACAACTGCTACTCATTGGATATTTTCAATTTTTCTGAACATTTTCTGTAAACCTTAGAGATGGTTGTACGTGAAAATCCCAGATCAGCAGTTTTTTTTAAATGCTCAGACCATCCCGTCTGGCACCAACAACCATACCATGTTCATAGACACTTAAATCCCCTTTCTTCTCCATTCTGATGCCCAGTTTGAACTTTAGCAAGTCATCTTCACCACATCTAGATGCCTAAATGCATTGAGTTGCTGCTATTTCATTAGCTGATTAGCACGTTGTGTCCCCAATCAATTGGACATATGTACATACACGTACACACACACATACTCTATATTGCCAAAAGTATTGGGTCACCCCTCCAAATCACTGGATTCAGGTTCCAATCACCTCCATGGCCACAGGTGTATAAAATCAAGCACCTAGGCATGCAGACTGCTTCCAGAAACATTTGTGAAAGAATGGTGCGCTCTCAGGAGCTCAGTAAATTCAAGCGTGGTACCGTGATAGGTTGCCATCTGTGCATTAGGTCCATCCGTGACATTTCCTTGCTACTAAATGTTCTACGGTCAACTGATAGTGGTATTATAACAAAGTGGAAGCAACTGGGAACAACAGCAACTCAGCCATGAAAAATTACAGAGCGGAGTTAGTGAATTCTGAAGTGCACAGTGAGCAGAAGGTGCCGACTGCAGAGTCAATCGCTAAAGACCTCCAAACTTCCTATGGCCTTCAGATTAGCACAACAATAGTGCATAGAGAGCTTCATGGGTTTTCATGGCCAAGCAGCTGTATCCAAGCCTTACATCACCAAGTGATGCAGGATGCAGTGGTGTAAAGAACACCGCCACTGGACACTAGAGGACACTAGAGGAGTGTCAAATCACGCTTCTCAGTATGGCAATCTGACAGTTGCCAGGAGAATGGTACTTGCCTTACTGCACTGTGCCAAGTGAAAAGTTTGGTGGAGGGGGATTATGGTATGGGGTTGTTTTTCAGGGGTTGGACTTGGCCCCTTAGTTCCAGTGAAGGGAACTCTTAAGGCGTCAGCATACCAAGACATTTTGGACAATTTCATGCTCCCAACTTTGTGGGAACACTTTGGGGATGGCCCCTTCCTGTTCCAACATGACTGTGCATCAGCCCTGACCTCAACCCGACAGAGCACCTTCGGGATGAATCAGAGTGAAGACTGTGAGCCAGGGCTTCTCATCAGACAGTGCCTGACCTGGCAAGTGTGCTTCTGAAAGAATGGTCAAACATTCCCATGGACACTAACCCCTAAACCTTGTGGACAGCCTTCCCAGAAAAGCTGAAACTGTTATAGCTGCAAGGGGTGGGCCAACTCAATATTGAAGCCTACAGACTAAGACAGGGATGCCATGGAAGTTCATGTGCACATAAAGGCAGGCGTCCTATACCTTTTGGCAATATACTGTATGTATGTATATATATATATATATATATATATATATATATACACATACACAAACATTCATTTCTTGGAAACACAAAGCAGGCTTTCATGTGTTTTGCACTGGGGAGAGGCTAGCCACTTTGATATAAAGTCCAGATTCTTTCATTTGAGAATTGTGCAGTAGACATTTTTAGTTGCATTCTCCAGACCTGTGCCTTGCAACAATCCAGTTTTGGAGCTCTGCAGGCAGTTCCTTTGACCTCATGGCTTTTGCTCTGATACAGTATGCATTGTCTACTTAATTTGGACTCCAATCAAGGTGTAGAGACATCTCAGCAACAATCAAGAGAAACGGGAGGCACCTGAGCTAAATTTCAAGCATTGTTCCAAAGGGTCTGAAACCTATACCAATATGATATTTCAGTTTTTCCTTTTTCATAAATTTGCAAGCATTTCTAAAATTCTGATGGTCATTATGGGGGTACCGAGTGCAGATTAATGAGAAACAAATTAATTTAAAAAAAACTGTAGTATCAGGCTGCAACATAACAATATTGAAAAACGTCAAGGGGGACTGAATACTTTATGAATGATTTTATATATATATATATATATATATATATATATATATATATATATATGAATGACTATTTATGAATGCAATATATAATTATCTAGCTCAACGGGGTTAACTTTAGACAAAGAAGAACCTGCAGATTGTTTACCTTTAAATTCTAACACAAGGAGCCAAGACTTTAGTCATATAGCTCTTCAGGCAGGAAGACTGTGTGCAAAAGCACTGAACACTGAAGGCTAGACAGCCTATATCCACATCACATAGTCACATATCCTCTAAACTGCATCTGCTAGATAGTTTCTTTGTGGCTTTCAGGAGGGTGTACCGAATAGTTGATCAAGGTAGGAGTTAAGTGCTTTAATAATGCATACTAATGCAAGGGCTGGTTTACAAGTGAAGCCGGTGGTGAACACAAAGCTTTCCATAGGTTTACTGATGGGGATTTTAAAGGCAGCAGAATGGCATCCTACACGGATGAGAATCCAGGTCATCCAATACTAGTCATCAGCCCACAGGTTAAAATCAGACTTAGAGAAGAGAGGAAGGTAAGAATCTCTTAGAAGGCTTTTACCATCTTACTGAAAGGTCATCTAGGGGAAAGGCAACAGGATTAAAATCACATCTATGGAATTGAGACTGGGAAGCAGAAGCACAATCCTACAGTTCCTTGATGCTGGGAGTAGATAAAAACCCTCATGAAAGTCAACAGCTTCAAAACATAAGGGTGTATAATCCATATGAAGAGCACTAGATACATTAAGGACTATAGCCTTTGATGCAATCGATAATTTTACCTTTATCCCTAAATGAGTCCTGAGATAAATCAGCACCCTTTCCATCCACCCAAAAACCTTCCAGTGGGGCTGGGTGACTAAAATTTCTAACTGGAAGCAGAAAGTGCCATAAACTACCAGGTGATTAGTATGCAACAAGCAAATACCAAAAGCATGTGATAAGGTGACAAACATTAAGGGCTAGTTCACACCACAAAAACACACTCCAGATGCGTTTTTGCTTACAGTTCACAGCGCACTCTGTAATGGTGTGTTTTTGATGCGTTGTGCTGTGTTTCCAGTATAGTTCTGTGCAGAAAAAATGCAATGTGTTTTTTTTTTTCTGCACTGAAAACTAGAACTAGGGCCATTGGAATACATGGACAAAACTCTGCATGCATTTTTGATGCAGAAAAAAAAAAAAACCACTGGACTAAAACTGGTGTGAACCAGACCTAAGCATAGAAACCAAAATGTTGTAATTAAAGTTTGGAAAAGAGAACATACATACACACAAGTCACAAGCTCTATTTTCAAATCTATGAAATGACAGTTTACAAATAGGAGTGAGAAATTACAGAAATAGACCAGCTACAGTGAACGGAAGAATAAATATTTACATTACATGGTTTCCTGGGGTCATGCATTTCAAGGGGAAAAAAGGCCATCACCTACAACATTTTAAGATGAGTAAAGTTTAAATATATTTTATGCTGCAATCATTATGTAAAATCCATAAACACACCCAGAAAATGGATTATTCTGACACTGCTGGCCTCATTGACAGCTTTTGTACCATGTGTGATGGGTCCCAGACAAACACGCACTATAACCATTAATACAATCTTTCATAATCACTGGACTTTTGTCCACAAATACAAACTGTAAACAGAACGGACAAAGGGAATTTTATAGAACAGGGGGGAGTTTTGCAAATATTCTGTATAACCCAAGCCTAACGAGAACATCTTCTCTTAAACTTCAACCACTTAAGAAATTGCACTTGTACACCCATCAAGAACCACAGCATTTTAAAAATTTTTGCTTATGGGCCTGCTATTTGGTGTTACTTTTGTATAAAATTACATACAATATTTAGGACACAAAATTAGTGAGATTGTCTTGCAAAAACTATTTTCTATACAATCCAAAGATTTTGTTTTTTTTTTAATAGATTAAAAAAAAAAAAAAAAATGAAGACTGTAGATAAGAAGTATGATTTTTATTTGTGCAGTTTAAAGCACTGGAATATTGATTTTTTTATTATAAAAAGCATTGCAAGTTACTTGCAAACTAAGGTTCCATGCACACAGGCTTAAAAAAAAAAATGCTAATTTAGAATTTTTTTTTTGTACTAACGTTTAGGGTACTGCCAGAAAAATGCTCTCAAAAACACAAAACGGAACGTTTTTTTTTTCTGCCTCTAAACGCTGAACTTAAAGCGTTTAGAGGCAGAAAAGGGGAAGTTCCGCTTAAAAGATTGGTCCCATTCCCCATTAAGGATTGGCACCTTTGGGGAAACGGGGGGGAGGGGGGGGGGGTAACAGGTACCCGAATTTGGCAGGTACCAGCTCCCACTTCCGCTGCGATCGCCTGGGCGATCGGAAACGGAAGTCTTGCGGGACACGTGACAGGTCCCAGAAGACGACGGGGCCATTCAGGAAGCGCAGCGCTACTCGCACATGCACAGTGGGCACCCAGCTGTGAAGCCACAAGCTGTCACAACCGGGTGCCCGCACTGAAGATGCCGGTGCCTGGAATACAGAACGGCCGGTGAAACGGACAACGTGAGATCATGGGACAGGTGGGTGGCTGTTTTTTTTAAAAGTCAGCAGCTACAGTTTTTGTAGCTGCTGACTTTTATTTTTTTTACAGAGTGAGTGGAACTCCGCTTTAAAAAGCGCCTCTTGACTATCTAATGTGCATGAACACATAGGATAGAATCAATTGCCTTTAAAGGCAAAACGCTAAACTCCCCTAGAATTTACCAAGTAAATACAATATAGCAGAAGAGCATTGCAATATTTAAAAAAAATGTAGGGGTTCAAAACGCATTCGCAGATTAATCTTATATGAACCAAGGATTGACTGTTATATTGTGGCTGATCCATGCCTGAACATAATGCACTTCCATCTAAATACTGCCGAAGTCCACTTCACTTCAATTTAAATCAAAATGGTTACCTGTTTGTTTATAATTTGGCATACAAAAGTGTAACATATAGATTCTAAGGTTCTTTACCAAAACCTTCTGAGCTTTTGAATTTGGAAAATAACTTTGGGCCTCATGCGCACTGGGTGTTTTTACAGAGGTTGTTTTTGACTTCTGGCATTTTTCTCTACAGCCAGTAAACTCCCCAGCATGTTATTCTGTGTATCCATGCAAACATAGGCTGGAAAAAAAAAACAGAACTAGTTGGTTGCAAGAGGTTTTTTTTAGCCTTAAAATGGTAAACGCGGTAAAAATGTGGCAAACCGGCATTTTTTAGGCCAATTTTATTTGTGTGTTCTAAAAACTGCTAATGCAGAAAAAGCGCTATTGCAAACACACAGAAAAAACTTGCGTTCTTAACGCGACTTTATACAGCCAATGCTACCAGTGCTTTTAAAATGCCCAGTGTGCATGAGGCCTGTAGCAGACTCTTTGATAATTAAAAATCACGCTATAAAATCCCTTCTGATACAGCCTCTATTGGTGGTTTATTGCCGATAGTGTCCTCATTAGAGAGATTTGTGAAATTTTCAGTCTAGTTGACACCTGCCACCACAGCACAAAATAAGGAAAGCAATAACACATTTGAAAAAGGAGTAAAAAAAATATCCTGTGCGTTAATATGCCTAGACTGATTGCAAAGCATGAGAGGGGTAAAAGGACAATCTTAACAGACCTGTCTCATAAGGGTATGAAATGACTATGCGCAAACTGTAGTAACCCTCACATATCTCCTGTAATGTCAAAGCCCATTATAAACACACCTAAGGCTGACTGCACCATTTAATATTTTAATAAAACTGCACATCTTTGTGCAAATTCCCTGCTACACAGGGTAGCCAGTATATAAACACAGGTCAAACTTATAAACAATTGAAATGTGTGGCTTGGTATCTTTGATATTTCACAGCTCAAAAGCAACTGCCCATGCAACTGGCAATTATCCAGATGAGACTGTCCGTGAATGTCAGCAGTCAGG